CCCAAAAAGAACAGTCACAACCACAACCTCCTCCTAATAATTTACCTCTCAGAAAAGAGATGAATCGCACAGGCGCCAACCAGTCCTATTACGTGCTGGGTCATAAGACCCCTAACATCCGCGATCTCTATACCCTGGGTCGTAAACTAGGACAAGGCCAGTTTGGCACCACTTACTTATGCACCGAGTTGTCATCGGGGATCGAGTACGCCTGTAAATCTATTGCCAAGAGAAAACTCATCTCGAAGGAGGACGTTGAAGATGTGAGGAGGGAAATTCAGATAATGCACCATTTGGCAGGTCACAAGAACATCGTTTCTATCAAGGGTGCTTATGAGGATCCTTTGTATGTTCATATTGTCATGGAGCTTTGTAGTGGCGGTGAATTGTTTGATCGCATCATTCAAAGAGGTCACTACACCGAGAAAAATGCTGCCGAATTGACTAAAATCATTGTAGGTGTTGTGGAGGCTTGCCATTCCCTTGGAGTTATGCATAGAGATCTCAAACCTGAGAATTTCTTGTTGGTTAACAAGGATGATGATTTCTCTCTCAAGGCCATTGACTTTGGACTCTCTGTCTTCTTTAAGCCAGGTCAATCTCCACATCTTAGCTACCTTGTTCTCTTCCAATAATTACTTGCCTTTTGACATTCATTTGGTGCCACAGGAGTATATCTTTTTATATTGTAATGTTGGTTTGACGAGTTTTGTTGGTTGCTCCTCCAGGCCAGATTTTCACGGATGTGGTCGGGAGTCCATATTATGTTGCTCCTGAGGTGCTTTTGAAGCATTATGGTCCTGAAGCAGATGTTTGGACAGCAGGGGTCATACTCTACATTCTGCTTAGTGGTGTTCCACCATTTTGGGCCGGTATGCATGTTACAATCCTATACAGCATAGCTGTCAATTTTCTGGTTTTTGTCTTTGTACACTTACCATCTTAATTCTTCAGAAACACAACAGGGGATATTTGATGCAGTTCTGAAAGGGCACATTGATTTTGAGTCAGACCCTTGGCCCTTAATATCTGAGAGTGCAAAAGATCTCATCCGGAAGATGTTATGCATGCGGCCTTCAGAGCGGCTAACTGCTCATGAAGTATTATGTATGTTCCCCTTATCTCTAAGGAGTCATTCATGTAAACCAACTGCTGATCTCGTATTATGGTTTTCTCTGCAGGTCATCCTTGGATTTGTGAAAATGGTGTTGCTCCTGATAGAGCACTTGATCCTGCAGTACTTTCTCGCCTTAAACATTTTTCTGCAATGAACAAGTTAAAAAAGATGGCTTTGCGGGTATGCACACAAATCTGGTCGTACTTCTGTTCATTATGGTTCTTCAGTGTCCGATCAACCTCATTGTAGAAGTCATGGCAGAAACTTTTGATTCTTTCATCTGGGAGGCATGTACCTGAATAATGCAATGTATTTAAGTTTTCATACTTATTCTGCTTTCAGGTGATCGCTGAAAGCTTGTCGGAGGAGGAGATTGCCGGTCTAAAGGAGATGTTTAAGGCCATGGATACTGATAACAGTGGTGCAATTACATTTGATGAACTAAAAGCTGGTTTGAGAAAATATGGCTCTACTCTTAAGGATATAGNAAAGGATATAGAGATACGGGAACTTATGGATGCGGTAAGGAAACTTTTACTGCAAACTAATTATATTTGTTTTGTGCATCTTTGTCCAATTGATGATGTGGCTGTACCCAAAGGTGGGCAGAAGCATAAAAATGTACAATGACACAAGATCATGAACTGCTGGTCAGTTAAAATCTGCTTGTTCCTCAATTTGCAAAGACTAGAGTCGGATTGGGATCTTTACTTTGTTTAATTAATTACGAACATTCATGGAGGAGCACTTAAACTAAATGTAGCTGCTGAAGCTTCACTGGAAAGCTGCCCAGTCTTTTTGTTTGTTTTTTTTTT